ATAATATTATTTAGATTTAATAAATTATAGTTGTACTTGTAATACATATGTTGCATCGAAAAATATTATTTTAAATTAAAATATAAAAATAAAATTTAAATATTATTAATAAATAATAATTTTAAGGTAATAGTAGGTGATTGTAAAATTTATAAAATATTTATAATATATTTATTATTTATCATTCACTTTATGATTTAAACATCAATATGATTTTATTAACAAAAATATTTGTGTAAAAAATATTTTATGTGTGTCATATATAAATAATATTTTTAAAAAAGTCAATCTCATATTAACTATGTAATAATTAAATTGTGTTAGCCGAATTAAATGATATAAAATAGTAAATAAATTTTTCTATTAAAAATATAAACCAAAATAAATTTTTTGGTTTACTTTATTATTAAATATATTTTTATATTAATCTTATATAACTTCACATAAGTAATATAATAATACAAAAATTCAATTCATAATTGTAGAATAAAGTTCAAGCATATATATATATATATGCGGGTATGGGACGGGGTGGGTACTTAGATACCCATCCCCATTAAAATTTGCGGATTTTTATCCACACACCATACCCGTACCCGTATAGCGGGTAAATACCCTACCCATTGTGAGTAAATTTTACGGGTGTCCATCGGATACTTTACCCATTGTCATCCCTATCTCCGGAGTCCCATTTAGGGCGGTCCCCGCGGGATCCCGCAACTAGAGATTAATTGACACCCTTATAATTAACACAAGTTAGTTAGCTACAATGGTGCTGGTATGAGAAGATCTAGCAGTGGAGAAGAGAAGAAGAAGCTGCTTAATGGAATCACTGGTTTTGCTGAACCTGGTCGGATTATGGCCGTCATGGGTCCTTCTGGCTTAACTCTTTGGCTGGTCTTTCTTTCTCTCTCTTTCTCCCTATTTAGCTTTCCAAGTTATATATATAATCTTGCTTGTGAAAACTGGACTTCTATTGACAATGTAGCTAGCTTGCTTTTCAGGTGGATTCTTGAGTTTTTTGGTACAATGGATTCTTCATTTAGTTCATACTAGAATACTACTAATGTGTAAAATAATGTATTTCGAGTTCCTTGACTTTATCATGAGTTAAGGTAATTCTCCTGCAATAATAATATTCACATGTCCATATAATTTTTTTTATTACATATTATATTCTTTTTTCTCTTCTTTCTTCTTTCTGACAAAATATAAGCCACTCGATTGTATTTATATTATTGAAATTAAAACGTGGCATTTTTGCTCATTATCTTTCAAAAAATTTACAATATCAATTTTCTATATAAACTGATTTATCTCACATCTCGTATATAATATAAGATAACTTTTTATGTTTGAAATGTGTCAAATAAGAAAGAGTTCACTTTTTAGTTTAACATTTTTACGCTTATAAGAATTTATAAGTTAAAATTATATTTTTGGTCCTTTGAATTTAAGTCAAGTTTTAATTTAATTTTATAATTTTTATTTAATTTATTTTTTAAATTTAATTTAAATTTTACTTCAAAATTTTAACTTCTTTTTATTTAATTCAATTTTAATTATTTTTAAGTAAATTTTATTTTTTTATATTTTAACTTAATCAATTTTTTTAAGAAATAATAGTATTTTAGAGAAATTTTTTTATTTTACTGTTAAGTATTGTTAAATATTTTAAATCACCACTAAATTTAATTTATAAAAATACAAATTTGTTATTTTGTAAATAAATAATATACATATTAATTATAAAAATGAATGAATAATAAAAAAATGTTAAAATATATTATTATTTTTTTTTGGCTAAATATCAATATTTTATTAAGAATAAATTTAGAGTATAAAGGCACTCTAATCCATTACAACTCTAAAGGAAATTAACTATACATGTTAAGGGATTATTAATCCAATTCATATATAAAATCGATCTTCTCAAAGGCTTTACTGTAAGTCACTTCTAAGAACGATACTTAATAAAATTAAATATTTCATTAATATTTAATATATTGTTATTAAAGAAAATATTATTTAGAATATTATTTTGTTGAAGCTAAAATTGTCTATACTACTGCAAATCATATTATTACAACTCTCTTCTATTTCTTTTTTTCACATTAAATTTCATACATACTTAATAATATTTCATGCAAATTTTCATATAAGCATAAATCGACACCAAATCATTCATATACCATGTACCGCAATTTCATGGAGATACTGCAATGCAAAAAAAAGATGTAATATGTCATCATCTTTACTATTACACAATCTACAAACTTTTGAGGGAATCATCAATTCACGTTTGCTTAAATTCCTCTATACTAAACTGCATTAAGCAATAGACGTCAAATAAATATTACTGTTTTCCTCGGCTAATATTAAAAACATGTTTTCTAATTCATTTGAAGAAAAAGAATATGATCCTTAGTGGGCTTAATAAATTGGCTACATCAAGAAATTTTCAAGTCTATTTTTTTCTTTTGTTTGTTTAAATTCTTTCTTGCATTTTTATAAATAAATGTTGAGTTATAATAAATATTATACTTATGAGTTAAGATTTGTTGAAACCAAATGTTAAATTTAAACACTTACATCATTCCATAATTTTGTTTATATAAAACAAAATTAATCAATCTAACCGTTTAATAGTTTTATATTATTTTCATAATTATTCATATTAAATTTTACATAATTTAAATTCTCTAGACATGTTATATAAAATTTGAAATTTATTTATATTTTAAAATTATATTAAAATAAAGTAATGAGATAAAATATATCTATTAATTTTGTTTTTATATAAAATTTTATAAATTTATCTACTTGATAAAAAATTTCAAATTAATAATTAAATTGATTAATTTAATATTTTAAATAAAATTATTAAGTGATATAATTGTTTAAATTTAAAGATGTTACTGTTTGCTATATTTTTTCTACGATGAAATATTAGGGTGAACCTTTTGTGCAGGGAGACTTCGGTCAAATGTTCTAGTAACCTAGAACATTCTAATTAATGAGAAGAAGAGAAGTTTGTATTCTAAAGAAGTGGTAAGCAATGGAACATTATAATAAGATACTACCTTTATTTTTTTTTTTATAAGAAATAAAATAAAATATTTTTATCATAATTATAAAAAATAAAAAATAAATTTAAGATACATTAATTGATAATTTTTTTATATTTTTTTTATTATGTTATTAAATATACAAACTACCAATTACAGTATTTAATATGTGAGTATTTTTTAAATAAAATTTATATTTATAAAAAAATAATTAATTTGATTTTTTTTTAATCCTAATAATTTAATGTCTTTAGATCTTAGTAACCGAGAGAGTTTGTGGCTAACATAAATGCAATGATAGTAATATATCTTTATCCGTTCTTCTAGTTTGCTTTAAAATATCCACATGTATAAGTACTCATGTTTGTCGAATTGTTGAATTTGCAGTCTTACGTAGCTCAAGAAGAACTTTAATAAATATAAATTATTTTAATTTATGAGAAGAATTTTATTAATTTTTTTATTCATATAAGTAATAAATTTATTTAAACTCAATCTTAAATCTTAATGAAAGAGGGGACCCCTTCCAGCTATTAGCACTGTCGAGGTCCAAATATGGCCAGAATTTATTGAAATAGGTTTGTATGCGGACGAGGGACATTCTACCACTAATGTTTAGGTGAAAGGAAAACAAAAAGAATAAAAATATTTTTATAGGTAAAGAAAAGTAATAAAAAATAACTTTTAAAAATGTTTCAATTTTTAAATATTTTTAGTTTAATTTTAATTTTTTTTCCTTTTGAAAGGGTTGAACTGAATCATCGGTTGTCTATTTTGTTTAACTGCGAGTGATTTCCTGGTTCAGACCCATAATGATTCAAACCTCCCTAGCCGTGGGAATTGTCGGTGAGATTTTATTGCACGATCTTTCATTTAGAAATTAAAGAACATACATGTAGAATCTTAATATATGGCGTTTTCATTATATTTTTGTTAATTATTAAATAAATTTTAAGATCAAAAATTAATTTGAATGATTAAAAAATTAAGAAAATTTAACGTGAACAATTTAAAATTAGAGAGAAAAAAAGTATCCATAATTTAACATGTTTTACCAAAAGTACAGCTAAGAAAACAATTCTAATTTTGGAGAGACATTGAGTGAGTTAACGTATTATCAACTCATATACGTCTAGAATTTGAGTTTTATTTTTTATTGAATCACAAGACTGATTGAAACGTTTGTTGTAATAAAATGTTACTTAATTTTTTTATTATCTTATATAAACTTTCAGATTTTTCATAAATACGTTATTTATATTCATAAAACTCATAATATTTAATTTATTATTTATAGTATTTCCAAAATTTTCAATAACTACTTTCATTTCTAATTTCATGTAAAAAAAAATCTTCTTTTATTAAAAATTCTTGAATTTATTACTTTCATTCTTTTTTTCTCAAAATTTATTAGTATTACTATGCCTTTTACTCTTTTTTATATATTATATCTATCATAGTATCACATGTATAAAATGTGTTTACTTTTAAACGTTTATATCTTTAAACACGATATTATATATGTAAATTTATTCTTTTGTCTAAGTATTTCATTATTTTATTTATCTAATATTTTTTAGTGTACTATATTTAATTAATTTTATCATTATGTAAAATTTTTAATTTTTACATCTTTCAATTTTTATTATAACATTTAAGATTTATAATTTTACGGAAGCTTTTTTTTTCCTCAAATGATCCATTGATGTTTAATTTATTTTCATATGATTTTTACGAGATAAGTGGCATAGACTATTATTTTTTCTCAAAAGATCCATTGATATCATGCTCGACCATAATATATAGAGAGAGCAGGAGCAGGGCGCAGAGGGTGGTACAAGGGTAAGCAATTAACTTGGGAGAGAGAAGAGAACACAAACAGTCCCAAAAAGAAGTAATAGTACAGTAAGGCCCAACATAGAAGCTATGGTGATGGTGTGGGAAGATCTAACAGTTGAATGCTTTGGAACACACAAGAAGAAGCTGCTTAATGGAATCACTGGTTTTGCTGAACCTGGTCGTATTATGGCCGTCATGGGTCCTTCTGGCTGTGGCAAAACCACTCTCCTCAACTCTTTCACTGGTCTCTCTCTCTCTCTCTCTCCATATTTTTATATATAGCTTTAGATGATTCATGATATCTTGCTTCTCGAAACTGAAGCTCTTCTCTATGGCTATGCTGCTCGCTGTTATACGATGAATTCTTCACTTACTTTATACTAAAAACGTAAATAAAATAGTCGACCAGGTTTAAACCGTGGTTTTTTCTTTCGTGATTTATTTAAACTGAATAGATGGTGAAAGTAAACACAATAAAAAAGTTAGAAACTAGTTAATTTTATAGTATTTTCATGCTGGAAAATTAAACTTAAAAACTTGTTTTCGAGCACTTAAGGTATTAAACTTACATGCTTATATGTTTTGCATTTACTGTCTTTTCCATGAAATTCAATAGAAAGGTTGACAGATTGATTTAATAGAAAGATTTTTAACTTAATTCACTTTTGCTTTCTTTAATTTGTATTGTGAGATTTTGGTATACTAATTTTTTTTAGCTAAGTTTTTTTATTTTAAAATTTCAGTTCATTTAATTTCTCTATCACTTTTCTTCAACTAAAAACTTTAAAATTGTAATTTTTATTTCAAAATATTAAAAAATAAATTAAATTATTTTATATTGTGAACGTTGATAATATTTTAACTTTTTTGTATTCAAAACTCACTGACCAAAGAATCAAACGCCATTCAAAATTAAAAAAATAAAATAAAATCTAATCTTATATCTTATTAAGAATCTTTTGACAAATTATTAAATTTCACTTCTTATATTCTTTTAAAATTTCATTTTTTAATTATATTCATTATAAATCTCAAATATTTAAATAAATAAACATGATGCTCTTTTTTTTTTTTTGGTCAAATATTCATAGATGAAAAAGTTTAACAACATATACAGTCAAGAATGCTAAATATCAAAAGATCAAATATGTATGATCAATGTTAAACACAACTTAGCAATATTTTAAACACTAAAGGCATGTTTATTAAACAATATAAGATAAAGAAATTGATAAAGATAGGATACAAAGAGAACGTTAAATGATAACATTCTTTTTAATGTTTGAGATAAATAAAAAAATAGTTAAATAAAATACAAATTATATTTAAATAATAATATTACTCTTTTAACAAAATTATTTAAATTTTTTACTTTTCAATATGTGTGTGTGTGTATATATATATATATATATATATATATATATTAAAAAGTAATATTTTTATGTACACATAATATTAAATTTTAATACTAAATTATAATAAATTTATTCAATTTTTTACTATTAAAATTTAATTTTAAATAAGAAATAGGTTAAGAATTTAAACTACAATAATAAGCAAAGATAACTCAGTAAAATAAACTGTATTCTCTAATCAACAAACACTAAAAACAAAATATGATAAGATAAAATATTTTCTCTTGTCTACTAATCAAGTGTTAAATATAATAAAATTAAACAGGAATCTTTAAATTTTCCTACGTAACAAACATAAGAAGTAAGCTTCCCATTTCTTTTTCTTTTTTCCTTCTTTCAGATTAGTGATAAATAATAAATTTGAAGTAAAGGGAAAAAAAGTCAAATATAGTAAAAAGAGAACAAAAATAAGCTTAATGATAAGAAAAAATAATTAAAATAAATGAATAAAAAAAGAAAACTCTCCTTAAAGAGAGACAAAAACTCATGATATATATTTAACTCCACATAAGAGAAAGGAACCTGGAAAGCTCCCAAAGAAGTAGAATTTTGTTTTTAACAAAATAGACAAAGTTTAAAAAATTACTAAAATAAAATATTAATAAAATACATTTCTTATCTAAAATAATTTGTCATATCACATTAAATATACTTCTATTATTTATTTTTAATAATCTTTTATAATTTTGAAAATAAATCACATTATTTTTAATACTGCAGTGTAGTGTTGATCGAAATATAAACAAAGTGTCATCACTTATGAATATGAAGATGACAGTGCGTGCCATGTACTGAATTCCTGAAAATATTATTGTGAAAAGCAACGAATGTTAACATTTTCTGTAGGAAGACTTCCAACAAATGTTGTAGTAAGCGGCAACATTCTACTCAACGGGAAGAAGAGAAGTTTCTATTCCAAAGATGTGGTAAGATAACAAACCATACATGTTGCTAAAAGTAAATGCCATGATTGGAATAACTTAGTTTAAATCCTGTCATATTGTTTAACTAAGATAATATGGTCATGTTAGAAAAAGAAAGATATATTTTTTATTAAATAACAATTTGTCATAATTGATTATAGAATTTACTAGTTAAATTTTATCCTATCTCTGGTTTGCTTTATATTCACGTGACATGAGTGGCCTTTCTCTTTGTACATTTCTTTTGTATTTCAAGTCTTATGTGGCTCAAGAGGAACTTTTCTTGGGAACTTTGACTGTGAAAGAGACCCTAACATTCTCTGCAAACATGAGGCTCCCTTCTAAGATGACCAAAGAAGAGATAAATAAAGTTGTTGAAGAGACAATAATGCAAATGGGTTTAGAAGATTGTGCAGATAATAAGATTGGGAATTGGCATTCACGGGGTATAAGTAATGGTGAAAAGAAGAGACTTAGCATTGGCCTTGAAATTCTAACACAACCCCATGTCTTGCTTCTTGATGAACCTACTAGTGGACTTGATAGTGCCTCAGCTTTTTATGTTATCCAAGCTCTATGCAACATTGCTTGTAATGAAAAAATTGTTATTTGTTCCGTTCACCAGCCAAGTAGTGAAACTTTTAATCTCTTTGATGATTTGCTTTTGCTCTCAAGTGGGGAAACTGTTTATTTTGGAGAAGTAAAGATGGCTCTAAAGGTAAGCAGTTTCAGTTTGACTACAAAGACAAGTTTAGAGTGCAATAAATTTGCTGAATATTTTGAGCTACTAAATAAAGTTTGGGAACAGTTTTTTGCTGATGCAGGGTTCCCTTGTCCAATTAGAAGAAATCCTTCAGATCATTTTCTTTTATGTATCAATTTGGACTTTGACTTGATTACTTCAGTACTAGCAAGAACACAATTATGTCTTGTATGAATCTTGATGCCCTTTTTAATTTTTATCTTTCTTCTTTTTGTCAATTGACAATGCTTCTAAATGTGAATTTCAATATACTGATTGGCAGGTATCTTCATCAAATTCAGCTATGGGAATGAGAACAGCAGATATTAGAGAGAAACTCATTAGGAGTTGTAAAAGTTCAGAGCTAATGATCAATGCAAGAAGAAAAATTCAACAACTGAAACCCAATGTATAACTTTGTTAATCCGTATTTATTATTTCTTAGCATAACAATTTTTTTACACAAATTATACCTTGATTATCTCCATTTATCTCTTTTTGTAAACCAATTTATTGTTTACCAACTACATGGTCAGTTATAATGAAGCATAGAGAAATGATCTTCCTTCATGAATCAACTAGACATTCTTTTGGATAAAATTTGAAGAATGAATCAAATCAATGCAAAATCCATGCATCAAATCATTTTAAGCAAAATACCAGTTCAAAAGCATTATTTTTCCCTTTTTGTCTCTCATTTCTCTTTAACAATTTGTTCTATGGAATTTGCAGGAAGGGCATGAAATTGAGCCCAAATTTGGTAGCAATACCACATGGTGGAAGCAACTATGCACATTGACCAAGCGATCTTTCCTAAACATGACTAGGGATATTGGATACTACTGGCTGAGGATAATATTCTACATACTTGTAGCAATCAGTGTTGGCACCCTCTATTTTCATATTGGCACAGACAACAACTCAATATGGGCTAGAGGCATGTGTGTATCATTCATCTATGGGTTCATGAGTTGTTTGTCAGGTGGAGGATTCCCACATTTCATTGAAGAATTGAAGGTAAAAAAATATTCTTTTTTTATTTGTATTTAAAAGGATACTAAAATTCATACCGTATTTTGTTGTGCATCTAACAAATCCTAATGAAAATCAGGTGTTTTATGGAGAAAGGTCCAAAGGGCATTATGGGGAGGCTGCATTTGTTCTATCAAATATGATATCATCGTTCCCTTTCATTCTTGTTCAATCTCTCTTCTCTGGAACAATCATATACTACATGGTACAATTTCATCCAGGTTTAGTTCATTGTGCATTTTTCTGCATCAGCTTGTTTTGCTGTCTATCTGTTGCGGAGTGCTGTTTCATGATTGTGGCCTCAATGGTGCCCAATGTCTTGATGGGCTTAGGAACAGGAACTGGTGTATTAGTAAGCAAATCATTCTCTCTGCTCCTCATAAGTGGATCTTTTGTAACTTATAAGAACTAGATATGATTAATTCATTTGATTGGTTTGTTGTAGATTTTCATGATGATGTCATCCCAATTATTTAGGCCACTACCAGACATTCCAAAGTTTTTTTGGCGCTATCCCATGTCCTACCTCAGTTTTTCTACTTGGGCAGTGCAGGTACAAATGTACAATGCCTAGTGCTTTTGGAATTTTACGGTTGGTTTGAAATTGAAGCTTTTTTTTTTTTTTAATTTCTTTTTGTAAGAGAAATTGTATTTGTGCAACTAATTTTTTTTTATAATTTATTTTATAATTTTAATGCAATAAGGAGGGAGATAGGCACAAACGGGTTGATTTAAGCGTCCTAATCTTTGTATGGAATAAAATTTCTGCCGAGAAAGCTAGCTCTCTACATATATTTCCAACTCGAATAAGATATGTGAGGAAAACATCTATAGAATTATTGAGAGTATTTAAGAATGTCTAAAATATATCTTATAATATTAATTTTAAGGTGTCTTTAATACTATAAAAATTGTTGTATTCTTTTCAACTACAGGGACAGTACAAGAATGACATGCTGGGGGTTGTATTTGATCCTCTGCTCCCTGGAGACCCGAAAATGACCGGAGAAGAAGTCCTAAAAGTGGTAATTGGGGTTCCATTGGATCATGACAAATGGTGGGACTTAACAGCATTGGTCTTCTTATTATTTTTTCACAGATTGATTCTTTTCTTGGTGCTGCGCTGTAACAAAAGATCAGTGTCACCCGTGTTGTGGTTTTACTTATGTCAAGCAAAGTCAACTCTTCGCAAAAAAATGTTTACTTATTAACAAATCATTTATGAGAAATACCAGTAACTACTCTTTTGAACATGATTTTTGTGATTGGTCTATTCTTAAAAAAATTAAAGTACTTGTTTTATAAATAATTTTTAAAAAATGTTTTAACGTTTTAAAACATTCACCAATCACAAAAAATTATGTCAAACTGTCGATTTAGAAGGGTATTGTTATTATTCCTCAACCTTCTGTGTATCACTTCTATGAAGAGGGTGTGATTTCCCCGTACTCTGCAAAATAATATTTGTAAATTATATGTCTTAGTATTGTAACAATAAGAGCTGTTACATTAGAAAATAATCATTTTGCATCTTTGGTTTTATTTGTGGATCACATAAGAAATATATAGAAAAATAACGTAAGAGACAACAAAATGTTGAGAAACATGATTGAGTATAAAAGAAAATAAGGACTGAAGTGAATCAAATAAATATTATTGATGAAATTAAATCAAGCGATACGAAAGTCCTCATGTCATGTGGTTTATATAAGAAGAGGAACTAACTACTATTAACTAAATATAACTAACTTCTGACTACCGCCTAAAAGTATATATTAGAACATTTAGCTTGAGATGAGAGTAGTCTAAATTTAGATCAAAGAAAAATACGATGAATAATATACATTGATCAACAATATGTTGGAGAGAAATAAACGAGTCAAAAGCAAAAAAATATAAAAATGAAAGAAGATGATTTTAGTGAGATAAAATTTAATTGTAGTTAAAAGAATAAGATAAAGTATACTTCTTTAACATAAATTGACACATTTTGTCTATATATCTACAAATTTCAATATAATTTTATTATTTTATATTTTTTTAACTAAAATTAAAATTGCAAACTCGCACACTTACACTTTTTGAATAGATAAATTTTTAAACTTTCGTTTTTGCAAGTCTTAAAAGGCAAAATTACAAACCCTCTAATATTCAACTACTCAAGTTTTCATTAAACTTAAATGACTGTATTATAGTAAGTAGACCCAAAATTAAATCTTATATTTATAATTTTTTTACATTAATTTTCCAAGTTTTTTAATGTAAGAATAATGTTGTTTATTGTGTAAATAAAAATATTCAAATAAGATTATATAAAATTAGTGTTGAAATTAAATATGAGTGAATAAATCTCACATTAAATAGGAATAAAACAATTGAACAATACATATAGGTGACATAAATCCACCTTTCATTAGTCTTAGGATTTTAGGTTGAATACATTATCCAAATTTGCTTTATGTTGCTTGTGGTCCATCAATGAAGATCTTCCTAGAATTTGTTACCTCACGTTTGTCCCAACAATTAAAACATCAATCCTTGAATTTCGTCAATTAATGGAACAATATAGAGGAGACTTACCAAATATAGATACATGATTAACCTACTAGAGGGAGTATTGACCTTAGTTCCTTCCACTATTAATTTTAAATCCAAATAAATATATTACTTAAATTAATTAATAGATTTATTTATGCACTCCATCTTAATCATGAATTAACTTATATATATTTAAAAATTACAATTAATTATAACCCATTAAAAATTATTAAATAATTTTAACATATTCTATGTTACAATGTATAAAACCATGGTTGAATAATCTCCAACATGTATTATAATGTTGTCCTAACAAACAATTGCCTGTTAAGAGTTTCAAAAATTGTTACCTATTTTTTATTTTAATAAATGGCCATTGATGCAGTGTGACAGGGAAAAAATTGTTGTCTAAGAAGCAATTACCACCTAGACAAAGGACAAAAAATGTTGCGAAACCAGAACTTTAAACAATAAATTTTTCCCCGTAGGAAATATTTTTTTATTAATCAGTCTAAACTAAAAAATAATATTGTAGGAAATACTTTTAATTATTTTTCTTAAAGGAATTATTTACATCAAATTTGATCACATTTCATTTTAATCCCGTATTTCAAATAACTATATGACTAAAAACTATTTCATTGCCAGGTTAACAAATTGTAAAGTAGAAAGGGTATCATTCCATTTTCCATATTGGAACTTATTCAATTCGTATTCAGTGTACATATCTAAAATTAACGTTTCTTTACATTTAACGCTTCAATTCATCCATGTCAACATTTTTTTCTTAATTTATAATTATCACATTTTCATTATTTGTCTCCAAGGCAATTTTTTTATAACTATTTCGTTCTCATTATGTGTTTTCAAAGCTAATCAACCTTTCCTCTTTACATGTTCCTTTCAATGGACTTATTGAATACTTTTCAAGGCTATAAGCTTAATTTTCGAATGCAGCCAATCATAATTAATTCAATCGTCCTAAAAGCCAACATTAACCGCTTCAATTGGCCAATTTACGGGTAAAGCAAGGTACCACGGTATTGTTGAAATTTACAATATATATATATATATATATATATATATATATATATATATATATATATATTACAATAATAAAAAAAAAAGGGTATTGAGTTGTGACCTAAAATGTTATATGTATACAGAATATATCCTAAATATCAAATTTCAAGCCATGTATAAATGGATTATATAATTTAAATAAAATTTGTGATACTTAAAAAATCATAAAATAAAATAAAAAGCTACATAATGAAAAATCAAATAAACAATCAAGTCTCCATTTCAGAAGAAGAAAAAGAAGTTCCTTAGATGACACATTTTGAAAATTTATTTTTAGGAAATTGATAAAAAAATTGGGGAAAAAAATATAATGAAGCCAAATTTGGTTTTCACTTGCACATTAGTAAAACAAAACTAAGATAAAGGATACGAAAATGTTTTAAATAAAAAAGCTTGAGAACGAGGAGGCATCTTAGCGTAACTATGGGGAGGAAAAATATTCAACTTTCAAATTGATGACCATCGTTTCCGGTTTAGTTCCGATACTATTAAGTATAAACGTATTGCATCATAACTATTTTCCCACGGCATTAGTATGGCTAGAAAAATTTTATCTGAGTTTTGGTTTATTAATCTATAACTAGGAACTCATACACCCTTTCTAATCATTTACGTCAAACCAAAATACTTATTCTATGTTAGAATTCATGTTCAGTTGTTCTTGCAACTTAAATTTCACCAATTTGGTGTCCCCCAATCATAGAGAGAAGGAGAGGATGAAAGGGAACACATATAAATTATTAATTAAGAGGAAGAAATGGTTGCTGAAATGAAAAGTCAATAATGCTCAGCTAATCAAATTAAGAATCTTCCAAAATGTCCACATCCCCTGAATGCTCACTCCCAAAGCATTCTTATTTTTAATTCTTGTTTTGAAGCGCCTGCATATTACAAATATTGATAAAGGTATATTAAGTTATCACAAAACATCTACTGAAGAACAAAAGAAAAAGAACTCATCGCAGCACAGTGTATTGATATAAATCTGATGGTTTTCAATCCACTATGCCCTATTTACTAATAAGAAGTTTTACCTTCTAATGTTTCAGTGCTGGTGATCATCCCTTTTTAATTCAAAGTACATAGTATCTCCTGAGTCTCTTTTTAATAGAGGATGTCACCTTTATATATTATTAGCAAATATTTCATGCATAATATGTATATATATATATTTGAAAATTTTAGAATTATAAAAGAGATATATAAAATTAATTTCAGAAAAATTTTAAAAATAAAATATATAATAAATTCAAAATCATTTAAACTCAATTTAAAATAAACACATTAAGAGTAAAATGTGTTAATTTTAATGGATTATAAATTAAATTAAGTTACTCTTAAAAGATTTATTCTTTTATTTGTTCATAAATTAATTTTTTAAATATAATTATTCTTTATTAAACTTAAATGTGAAAAGAGATAAAATTATAAGAAAAAAACTAAAAGTGCAATTAAATTTAACTCAAGATGCAGATTAATTAAGGTTTCTACTAGCTAGTACAATCAATACTTTATAGATAATGCATTATATGAATACCTTTATTATTTTACTTTTTCAATATTACTATTAAAATACAAGCACGATCTAAAGTATGGAAGAAAAATAAGCTTAAATCTCTTTTAAAAAAATTTCTTAATAATTTAATTAGATTCATAGCTTTCTTATTTAATTATATACCGATCAACTTATTATTAATTCATCAACGTAAAATTTTATTATCTAACAGTTACAGTCATTAAGTTTTTCTCATTTATTAATAAATCTAATATATTTTTTGTTTTATAAAAAATATTAACATCAGCTTGTTATATTAATTTTAAACATATAAAATTAGTAGATTTTTCAATTAAAAATCAACCATTTATTATTTCTTTTTCATGATATGGAATGTTGGGTTAGGACGAAAAGATTCGACCAGGACAAGTAGTAAAGATGTTACTAAAAAGGAGATATATCCCATCGCCACGAATGGATCTTATTGCCCTTAAGGAGCCTTCTTGCATTTCTTCAATGTCCACACACTCCTCATCATTACACTCATGCACTGTCCACTGCTTTGTCATTCAAACTTACAGTGATCAGAATCATCAAAGGAAATTAAGTGTTTACCTTTGAAAACAGTAGTTTATAGCTATAGGTTTTAGTTAGGCACGTAAACTTTCTTAAGTTCTCGAGTTTTATGAATCCACTTATAGTTTTTATTTTCAATCCCCTCCTATATTAAACAATAGCCTCTGTTCACACTTAAACTAGTTCAGAAATGTGGAAAAAAAAAAATAGCTGTAAAAGTTATTGTTTCTAATTTAAATATATACATAGGAAAATAAAGCTTAAAAAATGTAATTTTTCTTATGTAGATCAATAGAGGGTCCTACTGCTAATAATAATGTTACTCTCATCCTAAAATACTCCAATTATATATGGATCACGGTACACTAAGTCATAAAACATGTTATATAACTATTAAAACAAAATAAAATTACATGTCACAAAACAAATTAAGGTGCATAAAAAATTCAGCAATATTAACATGTTTAGACCAGTCTGATACTCCAAATGTCTGGTACCTTAGGCGGCTACATATATATCCAGTGGACCATTCCATTCTGACATTAAACAATTAAGCAATTCATGCATAGCCGAATTTTCAGCATGCTAAACTTAATTAGCTCAATAAATCACGTGTCAAAGGAAGTTATGAAACATGCTACTAGCTAAGACCATTGAGCAAAAAGAGAAAAGGATTGGATATATAGAACACGCTGTCCTACAATGAACAGTATAAAATCATTATGATTTTGAATTAGCCACTAAGTTTTTCGTTCTGTTCATGAAAATCCAAAAAGTAGGAATCTTTGCAAATTATAAAATTACAAGTTGTCGCTCTTAGAAAAATATAAGAATAATATATATATATATATATATATATATATATATTTTAAGGAAAAAAAAAACTCCTATTGAGATTAACTCCTTCATTTTATAAATATTTTCAGCTTAAACAGAACTAATAAATTAATTCAATTAATAAGGTTGGGAAACATTAAAAAAAAAAAGTCCATACCTCGCAAAATATTGCATATATACTTTTTCATCTGATTATCTATTCTCTCTTCTGAATCCCGTGGAATTACCTGTGTGTGAAAAAGAAAAACAATTATTTCATATATAAAATCTATTACCAAAGAGAAGCTTAAGGGTATGGGTAGGTAGAATTATGAGCGCCTTAATTTTAGTTGGCACTGTTTCGTAGTATGAGGGCAACCGTGTAAAGATATTTGCAACTCACATCATTTTCGTCTCAAATTAAAGATGATTGACTTACTAAGGGATGGAAGTCAATGATAATTCCATTTGTACTCTCTTCTATTTTCTTCTCTCACTTTCTAAATAAACAGTAAATTTTATTCTTTTTAAATGTTCATGTCGATTTTTATTTTTCTGGAAAGAAAATGAACATTGTAGTTTTTAACAAAATTAGTATTATTAACCAAAAGTAATTTATTTGAAATATGTCCGAAACCAAAATAAAATTAAAAGTTAAGACAAATATATTAACGTAACTTTTTATATTTTGTTAAATATATTAAATTATTAATTATATTCAAATTTTCTTTTATATCAAGATACTATATTATTTTTTTAATTAAATATTAAGTAATTATACTTTAAAATTATATTATCTTTTAAAAATTATTGTTATAAGTTTATGTTATTTATTTATATTAAAATAATTTATACAATACTAATGAAAGTTGGTTCAAATTGTAATTAACTTTGTATTGCTTAAGTAAAGTTTTATATTTGAGTCCTTTGTATGTAAAAAATATTTAATGGTAGATTCACTTATCATATATAAGTACTTGTGCACGACTAGATCGGATCAGATTAAACTGAATGAGATTAAACTTAATGAGAAATAAAAAAAAAATAACTTATACACTAGGTGAGATATTAATCAGTTATTACAACGTTGGAAGTCCCTGAATTCTTACCTAGCCCGTGTAAATTCCAAGACAATTTATTTATGAGACGGTATTTTGAAATCAAACATAATTTAATTAACATTCAAACATTTAATTACATGTTAGAACCATAATCAATGTCGTGAAGAAAATGCAATAAATTTTTGAATCAAAGAAACATGAGTATTTTTTTTGAGTTGTGTGATTTTAATTTTTCATTTTTGGTCTACACAATAGATATCACTTGGACATAATTATATTAAATTCAAGCAGAAATACTATAGATGACAAAGATAAAACTATTAAAGATATTTTTAAACATGTTAGATATTGTTTCATACTCGAGACTGCACATTAACTTAGAATATAAATTAATCTACATGTTCATTTATTTTAATTTTAAATATCGAGTCAATTAAATTTTACTATTTTAAAAATTAAATAAATATAGTCCCTTGATTTATTTTTCTTTTTACTTACGACACCCATGTTCAGGATCTTAGTAAAATTTTGATAAATTTTTAAACGGGTCTATTGGTTCCAGTCCTTGTCTTTGATAGTCCTTTGTTGCAGGATCTTTTAATTGCATTAATAAAAGAAATTTAGCGTGTTTGAATTAATGTATATCGAAGTGATAAATTCATGCATGTATGGCATAAAGTGATTTAGTTAGAGGGACAGAAAGCATGAATTGGTAAATGTTGTGCCTTGTCCTCATCAATATAATATTTTATTGCACGCGGTTGGCTTTATCGAAGGAGAGGATAGTCATATTTGAATGGAAGAAAAAATGAAGCTGGAATAGCACACAAAGTCAACTAAAGTCGCTTCCTTTCATAGAAAACCTTCAAAGCATTAGATCACGTTGGAGGAAGAAATCAAACCCAACTGCCAGTGAAAGCCTTGGATGGAGGAATTTGCACGAAAGTTTATAATGAAACAAAAGATGTATACATTGCAGAAAGTATCAGCACACCTAAATGGCTTAAACTAACATTATTTTCGTAGAAAAAAATGTTACTTTGAGACAATCCCACCAAACACTCCCACGTGCAAAGTTCACCTATTCTCTCCAATCCCCCATTCAAAATTTTAACAATAATTAACCTTTTTTAATGCGATGACGTCTCTCTCATTTTTTTAATTCAAGTTAGTCAAATTGCTTTATGGCATTTAGAAAAAACATTATTGGCTATCATTTGGTACGTGTCATTTAGTTGTGTAATTTTAACTATGGTAAAAGAAAGGAAAGTGATGAATGTGCATGCCATGAAGCCTCGTGTCTCCACATAAAAAAAGGGGTAAGCTTAGTGCGTACGTTTCAGCTATTTATTGACGAAGCTAGGAAGAGAAAAGAAGGAAAATCATCAAGCTCTTGCATTTCTCATGAACTGTGGAGTCGTGTTGGGTTTCTATTGTTGGGGTTGGGAGTTCTTAACTGCCCTTCTTCTCTTCTCCTTTCATATCAAACCTTAGTTCATCATTCTCTTTCTCCTTCTCATCTTCTTCTTAAGAAACCATTTTCTTTTAGACAAATTAAAAAAAAGGGAGGAAATACAGAAAAGTTGAAAAAATGGAGGGAGCAAGTGATAAGGGGTTGGAATGTGGAAGGAAGTGCACTCCACCACCGTTTTTGTTAAAGACATATATGCTAGTGGAAGATCCAGCCACAGACGACGTCGTTTCCTGGAATGATGAAGGGACAGCGTTCGTGGTGTGGCAGCCAGCGGAGTTTGCTCGTGATCTCCTCCCAACACTCTTCAAGCATAGCAACTTTTCTAGCTTTGTGCGCCAGCTCAATACCTATGTAAGTATTTATACAAATACACCGTATATTGATCGTATATTTTAATATTTATTGCTTAGTTTTGTTATTTTTAAAAAATGATTTATTCCACTACTCTGAGTAAAAATTAAGATGTATAAGGTGAAAAAATATAGATGATTCAGAGTGAATTAAATTTAATTGTTACAAGATTGTTTTTATATCGATGATAAATATGCTTCAATTTTTTTACCTAAAATATGGATCTTCTTATTTTAGAAGGGTTAAATTAAACGCTTCTAAATAACAAGAGAACACTGGACAAAATGAAAGATAACAAAAGAGAAAAAAAAAAAAATTGAGTTTTCTTGTTTTCTTGATGATGGAACAGGTTAGCGGCTTTGCTTGTAGAAATGAAGAGTTTCATTTTAAGTTCTCATTTAAGAACGGATGTAATTAGAAGATAGAAAATACTATAAAAAAAATTAGAAGATATAGCAAATATTTTGTTTGTATTGTTCAATATCATCGTTATATTATTTCGGGTGGAATAATTCTATACTTAATTATAATTTATTTTATTGTATTTTTATATAATTAAGAGACATATAAGAGAAATATATATATAAATTTTGTTAATCTCAACCTTCTAAGCTGAGTTTAAGTATTTATAAATAAAAAATTATTATAAAAAATATATACAATTATTATATTTAAATTATAAAAATATAATAAATATTTTTTTAATAAAATTTTATTATTATTAACTGCTTATTTTTAATGTTAAGAGTTGAAGTTAATAAAACTTAATAAATAATTATATGAAAAAAATAAAAATAAATTATAAGAAATAATTTATATAATATAATTAAACTCTTCCCCCTTGACTGTGGGAAATTTCCTAGAAAGGAGCGATACAACATTATAAAACATTAGAATAATAATGATATGAATGTTTTCTACCCTATGTCTGGACGGAGCCTGTCCAGGTAATGAATTTCATACGTACTTACTCATCAAATTTCAAGTCAAGCACATGCAAAAATCAGTCTTAGTGGGCGTACAGGTGCAGCCGTGCTTGACTTATCAACATTTTTTCCGTTAATTAAATTTGATGACAACAAAGTACTCATGCCCACTTTTTTTTCTGGATGAAAATGTTAAAATGTTTAATTTTGGGTCTTCATGACAAATATTTACCATCCATACTATTCGTGTATGTATATTTGCATATATTCACACACATATGTATAGGAACAAACAAGTCAACACCATAAACTAGTCATCAACAAATATTAAAATATGATGCATAGATTATTATGTACTGTTTCTTCACATCTCTGATTTTGATTTTGGTGCACATTTCATTCTTTTCCTTTACATGTTGACACAGAAACTGAAGTTGATGTATTATCTATATTCTTCATATATTTATATATTTTCATGTGTAGGGCTTTCGTAAAGTTGCAACAAGCAGGTGGGAGTTTTGCAACGAAAGGTTCAGGAAAGGTGAAAGAGAATTGCTATGTGAGATTAGGCGAAGAAAAGCTTGGGCTAGCAAGCAACAACCTAATGCACCAAACCAAGCCATAGGCCAAGATTCTGATGAAGATCAAAGGTCCTCATCAACCTCATCATCTTCAGGTTACACCACTCTTGTGGATGAAAACAAACGACTTAAGAAGGAGAATGGGGTGTTGAGTTCTGAGCTCACCAACATGAAAAGGAAGTGTAGGGAACTTCTTGATTTGGTTGCCAAATATTCATCACATGTAAAGGATCAGAAGGAAGAAGATGAAAGGCCAATGCTTTTTGGAGTGAGACTAGATGTTCAAGGAGGGAGGGAGATGAAGAGGAATAGAGCTGAGCTAAGTGAAAGCGCAAGCATTATGCTGTCTCAGTCTTGCAAATAGAAATGCTACATATTTAGGAGCTTAATTAAAACTATAAATATATACAGATACTGAAAAGTAATAATCAAATATTTGGAAATCAGATATTTGATTAATTAGATAGGCCCGCGAAGAATATTTTCCCCTCCATGGTGTTGTAGCTACTTTGGAGATAGATCATATTTGGTGCACCAAGGAGTTAATCAATTAAACTGTGAAGACACCTCAAGCATAGTTCTGTAATTAAATATGTAATGTGATTTAGGAAAATGATGCACAACTAAAATACAATTTGTACACTTATTATTTCCCCTTTTTTTATATATTTTTCGCTTTTTTCTTACCTATTTCATACCCAAAATGGTGAGTGGAAACAAACAATTTCCATCAATTAGTTATTGTTGTGTAATAATGTGCAAAAATAAACAGGGCGTGTATGGTAAATTAGCATGTTCTATGTACCTATGTACGCTAGACACTTTAGCTCCTATTTTGATAGAAAAATACCTAGGAACTGGAGAACTACAAAACATGTTATGTTTGGAGAATTTAGTTTTTACTCCTTTTTGAAAATTGTTCTCGATATTAAAGAATAACAAAATAGAAACTTGCGTTACGGGTGTTCTAGAATTTTTGTTTCCAAAACTTTAGTAATGTCTCGTGAACACTTCTTTAGGTAGATACTCTAAAAGAAATAGAAAGAGAAGGCAGAAAAATCATAAGTGATATAATGTAATAAAATTAAATAGATACAGTCTGTGATTATAAGCGTCAGATTTAATATCATTGACTTTGTTAAATACTGAATATCTTAATTCAAGTAATAGTTTCTATCGTAACGATATTAATACCAGAACGGTATTATTCACATAATCCCAACACTAATCTAACTCATATAAATCATTATCATTATGTTCTTTCTCTCGCCACTATTACCAAAGATAATTATTATCTATTAATTAAATTAAATTTATTTATTTAATTAATAAAATAATTTATAATATTAATATATTTCATCTTTACCTTCATACATTATAATTCGTTAAAGTCAATGTAAACTTTGGTCATGTGATATAAATATTTTAAGTTAAATAAAATTTTATTTTTAAATCAATCAAATATTTTACCCTTTAAAATATATTATTTCAAATATTTTTATTTTAATTATTAAAAAATTAATTTATTAATTAAATTAAAAAAATATGATAAAACAATTTATAATTTATTTTAAATTATTTAGATAATTATTTCATTGATTAACTTAAATATCATTTTTTTAAATATTTCTCTTCTTAATTAATAAATAATTAATTTATTAACTAAGTTAAAATTTTATTAATATAAACATTTCTACTTTTACGTATTATAAATCATCAAAATTTTTGTATACTAACATTATTTTAAATTTTATGCAATATAAATTTATTTTAAAATTAATTCATGTTTTAACTTTATTTTATTAAATAATTATATTTATTAATTAACATAAGTATATTTTTCATTCTTTAAATATTTCTCTTTTATTTAATAAATTATTTATCTAATAATTTAAAATTTAAGTCATATTATTTATTTAATAAATTATGCATAACTTACGTTATCTTAAATTCTTTGTAATATAAATTTTTTTAATTGATTTACTCACTCATATATTTCAGATTAAAACATCTTATTATTATTATTATTAATTTTTTTATTTTTTTTTTGTAACAATTTACAGTATAAATGTATGATCTTCCTTTATCTTTCGTATTATTTATTATAAGATACATGTATAATTGTATTATTTTGTATTCTAAATATTATAATTTTATAAAAATAAATTTAATCTTAAAATAAATTCTCTTTTACTATAGCTTTAAATTAACAATTTTTTTCATATTTTTTAGATAAAATTATGTGATTTTAAATTTTTGTTGCACTTAGGATATGTGGATAGGAGTGAGAATCCAACCCATTAAGTAAAATATTTTTTTTCTAAAATATTAATTAATATTTTAGTAAATAAATTATCTTCTTGTAAAAAAAATAAAATAAAAAATTATTGTTTAGGACTTAAATAAATATATATATTTTTATGTTATAATACATTTGTTCAGCTAATTTGAGGTAAGTATTATTCAAACTAACATTTTATAGTGCTAACACCTTCTTTACACATAAATGACTCTCAATTTTAATTTTTTATTTTAAATATTATTTTTAATTTTTTTTAAATATTTTCTTTAAATAAATTTTGGTGATGACTCCTTTAATTTTTTTTAAAAAAATTTTATTCTTAAAATATGTTTTATTTAAAAAAATACTCATTGTTTAGCTACAACCCATGTTACAACAACTTGTCCATTAAAAATTATAATTTGATAATGTGATTTATAGAAGAAGGTCTAGTCTATTAGTTCTCAAAGAATTTAAAGGTTGAACACAACAAATTTTATGATAAAAGTTATGCTATTAACAAGTAAGCCTAAAATTTTATTATAATAATTATTTGTCTTCTTAATCATCTTTAGTGTTCTAATTTTATTTGTATAATTTTTTAATTATATTTGATATTCGAGCCTAAATTATATGATTTATAACTCATCTATTTTGTTAATTATTATAACTACAAATTATTAAAATGAGTTTAAATATGGTTGTGATTTTGAATAATCAATTAATTAGAAAGTTAGTTTATTAATGTGGTTATTGAAGGCAGTTAGCATAAGAGACTTATTTATCTAAAGAAGATAAATTTTTGAACTCAACATGTGATCATTGAGTAGCTCATTTTTAAAATTTATACGTAATATTATTAAAAGTGTATTGGTCTATGAAATTTGTTTGTTCAAAGAGAATAAGTTTATGAACCCATTGTATGTTATTTGATAAACTTTACAAGGTTTTGACTTTGATGATTTTAGTTTACACATTTTGTTAAAAAAAGAATGTGTAATTATATTGATCTATGAAATTTGTTTGTTCAAAGAGAATAAGTTTATGAACCCATTGTATGTTATTTGATAAACTTTACAAGGTTTTGACTTTGATGATTTTAGTTTACACATTTTGTTAAAAAAAGAATGTGTAATTATATTGACCTCATTATAATAGTTTATATTAGTTAAAGCTATGTATTGCTTTTATTATATATTATAATGCATTATCAATTTTTTCATTATTAATATATATTTTAGTTTATCCTGTTACAACTTTATTGATATTTAGTTATAATTTAATATTAAAAATATTTTAATATATAATTATTACCATTTGAATATAAAATACATGGAAAATGCAATTGATAATTGAAGAATGACTAGTGAGGATTTTGTTTAATGCATTTGCCTATTAACCTATGATCTATGATTTTAGATACAAGTGAATTGATTCATGTATAAGATTTTTTTATAAATCGCTACAAGTTGTTATTATCAAAGTGAGAATGTTTGTACTTATTTGTGGAAATTTTTGTAATTTGAAAAATATTTTTAATCCTTGCAAGTGTTGCCTAAGGAAAGTAATTGTATGTTTGGGTTAAAAGTTGAAAATAGATAGAGTTATTGAGAGATGCACTAGGTTGAGAAATTTGTTTGCCTAAAGAGAATAACTTTTTAAGTTTAGTGTATGTTATGGATTGATTATTTAAGGTATTGACTTAGATAAATAAAATTAGTTTGTGTATTCTACCCAAAGAAAACTATACTATTTTTTTGGCCTCATTTTGATAGGTTATTTCTTTCTTGAGCTATATCTTCTCCAATAATATATTTTGATGCATTTGTGTGTTGTCTTTACAATGATTTTTTTTTTTTTTTATATATAAACAATTGTTAATTCACTTAGCAACTCAACTCACTAGAGGTATTGATTTGGATAATGACCTTAGTTTGTTCATTCTACCCAAAAGAAAATGTACTATTTTATTGTTCTCACTTTGATAATTTACTTTTTTGAGTTATATCTTGTCTTACGATATATTTTGATGCATTTGTGTTTTTATTTTGACAATAATTTTTCTTGTTTATAAACAACTATTTTGCATTAATTATAATTCTAATTGAATAAACAATGATCAAAATCTAGATTTCTCTTTAAAAATTATTTATCATATTTTAATTTTGAGTAAGGATAAGCATATAATCAATAAGTGAACATAAACAAAAGAAACATTTAAGTCAATGAGAGATGTTTGGTAGATTAAGTCTGATACCTATCTTTAGACAGATTAAGTCTGATACCTATCTTTAGACATCTTTTAAATGACCTTTTGAAGGGTGAGTCACTTAAGAAAAAAAAATTGATGAAATCTATAAATGTTAAAATTTTTAAGCTTCCTTGTTATATTATTAAATTAAATTGTTATATCACTTAAGACTATTGTTCTCCTACTCCACGTTCTTACTATTGTTCTTTCAACAATTTTTTTAGCTGAGACTAAAGTTCAAATTATTTTAATAAATAATGAAGTTAATAATTATGTTTATTCTAAGTTCAAACCACGGTAGTATATTATTTAACCTAATATTCTTTTAATATGAGTTTTTATAAAGCTACTAACGAAGTACTTGTAGAGTTCTGAAAGGTTAATTCTGATTTCAGAAACATAATTCTTGTTGTAGGTGTAAGATTTCATAGCCATACCAATAATAAAAATAAAATTTTGAATCCTTTTGAGTAAAAGAAAAAACTGACAATAAAATTAACTACCACCTAAACCTCGGACATATTAAAATGACTACACATCTTTGGTTTCTATTCCATAGGTTCTTGCTCCTAGGTAAAGTTGTTCCTAGGTAAAGGTTGTTGCTATCTTCTGAAAAATTAACTGTTAACTGCACAATAATTCTAAAAGTAAAAATAAAATTTGAAAATTTAATTATGGAATTATTGTTCACACGCTTTTGGAACTCTTCGAAAATTAATTTATGATATTATGGCTTTCAAGCTTTTAGAATTTAATTTTTGAAAATATAATTTAACCTATTTCTAGAAATTAATTCCTGAACCTATGGTTTGTTAGCTTCCGGAACTTAGTT